ACAATGCAATAAGTGTGCATATTTCGCAATAAACATCAAATACCACCACAAGACTTGGATCCAACTGCATATGATGTCTTGAAGAAAAGATGGTTATACGCGGAAATTTAGATATGCTTTTACGATTTAGCAGTTTGCCGCATACCATCCTTGTTCCTCCGCAAGCTCTACGGTAATATCCGTGCCAAGGCCTTGATTTCGAAGTGCGAATATCCTCCATCTGAATTCGTGCTTCGAGCATCGTTTCAGGACATGTGTGCTCATGGGGCGTTTGAGAAGAAACCTTTCGCGCTTCAAGCACTGAATTGGCTCGCGGCTTCAGGGGACCGAAACCACCTCAGCTGCTCTTTGTGTTGTTAGGCTCATGCATCAAACTATTGTCCACGTTGACAAAAACGCGCATAAAAAGACTTCCCCTGACCTTCATTGGCTTTTAAGTGTTATCGACGTATCCATTCTTTCCTCAGTTAATCCCCTTCAAATAAGCCGCAGCCCTGGCCTTCCCTACATCGTTTGAATCCTCCAATTTCGTCTGTACTTCGCTGATGCTGCTTGAGTAGATAACGATAACGAAAAGCTGCGAAAAAAGGTCTGTAAGATCCTACTGGTCCAATATCTTCGTTCCCGCTAGTTTCATAGGCGTGTGACAGCTTTGGTCGTGGTGTAGCTCTGGGTGACCCTTTACTTGTAAAAAGGCGCGATGAAGTAGCTATTCTGTTGTCGTACAGTCCCTGCACCAAGCGCGAAACCATGATATAATAAAAAGCGAATAATAAAGACGGCTTGAAAGGGCGCACGGTCGCACCATTCGCGCCAACCAGTTAGCCAAATGTGCATATTGTTCTGCACGGGACCAGCAGCCACGTTCGCACGTACGCTAGATTAGCTATCGTTGTTCTACTGAAACTCGCAATGGCTTTTCTAGATTTTTTTTCTAGACCCTTGTTCTACTGAAACTCGCAATGGCTTTTCTAGATATGAGAATTTGCTTTTATCCGGCACAGGTAGAGGGCATTATGTCGCCAGAAAGGGAGGTCCCAAATACTCTTTTGCAGTAAATACATTACAGCAATACATCATAGCAAGAGATGAGTGCTCAAGTTATATCACACAGTTTCGTCAAATAGCGACCGTGACGCGACTTGGCCCACTAAGTGTCAACAAATTCATGTGCTTCTCAAGTGCATAGGCGAGTATTGTAAGCTGTTGCAAATTCAACAAGTCTTGCCCAAGCAAAGCGTGCTCACGACCAAATATCAATGATTTTTGACGTCGAGCAGCAAAGGAAATCGTGTGAGCTATGCCTTTACATGGTGCTCGCACCCGGTTCTATCACCCACGGGGGCAAGCGGCATAGGCTGGTATAGAAACGTTCACGTTCACAACGCGGTGTTTGCAAATTGTGATTCACGCAGAGAGAGAGAGAAAGAGCCCATCTTGCAAACTGTCTGCACCTCGCTGTCAAAATACTTTCATCCCTCTTGTCGTCCGTCCTCTCTTTCAATATCGGCACGCAGCAGTATACATTCTCTGCGTGAGATGACTGGCTTCGGCTCGCGCGCCGCGGGCGCACTCGCTTTTCTCGTGTTTGTTGGGCAATGAACTTCAGAAAAGGTAATCTTTCTTGATATTACCCCTTTTGAAATTACGGATATAAGTCGTTACAACTAATTGAGCAAAAATACCCTTACCTTTTTCTTTCTGACAGACCTTCTTGCTATGCAAGGGGAAATCACCCATTCGAAGCCCTTGTTTGATTTGAATGCACTGAAATGATTCAACATTATTTCGCCAAGTGCACTACTCTTGAATAAAGTACCACTCCAGAGCCTTCGACACTTTCCACAGCAGCTTGCGCTCTACCTGGCAAAATCAGTGAACAAGACCTTTCCGCGCTCTTGTATGACATCGTCAATGGAATGCCCACAACATCAAATGGCACTGCATCTCCGCACTCTGAAATGTAAAAATTTTGAGATTGTGCAATGGCGACCAGGAGGCGTGACCGTAAAGCATAAGAGGTTACCTTGAGAAACGTACCGAAATGTGTACTGTAGTAAGACACCCCAATGTGTGTACCAGCGGGAAGTTCCCTTACGTTGATCATGTACTCTCTGTCTCCTCCAACAAACACAGCTCCACCTGCTCGATCGAAACATGGAAAAACTGGTGTTTTCGTCTCAGATGATACTATCTGAATAAAAATGATTGATTTTCCTTATACTCCTTCCATATATATCATTAAGTACCATCAGATCACTTGCATGATGCCGGCATTTGAATTCTTTGCCGGATACTGTGATTTGTACGGCGTGTTTCTCAGGCACATCCACAGTTAAAGTGCACATTTCATGTTTGGGTAAACGATAGCTACCCTCTGCGTTTATTCGTGATCCACATTCTGGAAAGGATTGATGGACTACAGCTGAAAGATATAGCAAGCATGAGAAGGAACTTTACCTATCGCATGATGTCGACTGTAGAATGATAGAGCCTGGAAAAGGTTCGAACTTGCATTTTGGAAAAGGGAAAATGTTGTGATTTGTACTCTCTCTTACCTGAGCCGATGAAACAACGATGGCAAGCAGTAGTACAGCAATATTCACCATTAGGACCTGAAACAGGAATGAGTCATGAGATAAACTCTTAGCCTAGCTACGTACTGGAATCCTCGAAAATGACAAGAAGCTCGAAGTTATTATGGGAACGTTAGGTTTTCTACACTTTCCAAAAAGTAAGAAATCAAGTGACGAAGTTGAGACATGATAGGTATAAAAGGTAAACAATATGAGTCATGCAGCCATGTAAGTTCGACGCATTTGGCTTCGTTCAACACAGTGTCAAATTATTGCCTTATTGTTAGTTATCGCCAAACACCATCATGCCAATAGTACTTATTTAGGCTACGGCGATGAAATCAAAGCCAATTACTGATAAATAAACAGCATTTGCCGACGGGTGTGTTGGATGACTGCAGCAAGTTGATACCTCAAGGGACACTCAATTATACGATACGAAAGCCACGGACCAAAATGAAAACTACAAAAGTTGCATTTGCACAAAATTTTCGTCATTCAATAAGATTATAGGTGGAGCGGACGTGATTTACAGATTATAGGTATGAAAATGATATCTTTCGGTATAATTTCATTCTGGGAAGTCCATCTCGCTAGTGACTTCTTTTTGGAAAAAATGTGGCGAATTTCTTTCTACTTTAGAGATTAAATCCAGGTTGCGGCGCTAGAAGGAAGTCATAAGTATATGTTTGGTGAAGAATGAGATCCAGTAGATAGAATAATGTGTTCACTACCAAAAAGCAGAACAAAGTCATGGTTCTTTCTGAACAACATGACTAGAAGGAGTTTTTTTACAGCTCTAAAGCAGATTGTTATCAAAATATCAGACTTGAGTCAAATGCACAAGAAGAGTAGGCAGCTCAGACATATCGTGAATTCCAAAAGACTTCTTCGAGCTAGATAATCCGAAAGACTTCTTGTGCTTCAGCTCAGGCTGCCCTGATTTTATTTTTACATGTAAGTGATATCAT